TGCGTGGAGTACGCCGGCGATGCGGCATGTAAGACTAGGGGGCTTTAAGTCTGAGCCTGTGAGTCACGCGAGCGCTTGCGGGGTCAAGCCCTGGTTCATCTTGAGCGCTTGGCCCAGCTCCAAATCTTGTATGCTTGAAGCTGAAATCCGATGTAGAAAGTGTCCCTCAGAGCCCAACACATGCAGATGCTGCCGCAGAAAGTCGCACCAAAAGGGTTCAGTCGGGTGTCAGTGCACGCGGGAGCTCTTTCTGTCTGCTGGAGCTGTGCTAACACTGCCAGAGCTGCTTGAGACATGGGCTGTTCAAGGAAGACACCCCAACCGCTGTTGTGATGCTGAACGTTTTGAGCTTTGTCTCGGGAAGCTGAACCTCCGGATTCCGCAGCATAGCACGTTGCAGGCTCCCGGCAGCGACGTTTCCTTTTTGTCATGCGGTCAGTTCCAGTGCTGTGAGCACGCAATGGACACGTTGAAGTACGGCGATGCGCTTTTTTAGATCGCCTGCAAAGGCTTCGTCAGTGCCTACCGAAATTCTGATTGTCCTTTGTTTGTCTGTGCTTCTCCGGCCTGTCGGTTTTGAAGGCATGGGATGCATCTGTCAGAGAGCCTGAAGCCTGCAGCCCCAAATCTGAGGCGCCTTCACTCCCTTTCGATGCCGGAAGATCAGCCTCTTCTAAGAAGCTGCAACCCCCTAGGGTTTTTGGGGGCCCCTTCTGAAGGCCGGGGTTCGAAACGGCCTGGATTGTCTGGCTCTGTCCATCGCCCCCTGTCTCTGCACATCTCTCCGCGTACCAAGTCTGCTGAGCTGAGCTCGGACAGCGAGTGATCCTTTGATCACTCTCTGGGCTCCTGCGCTTCTCTGCGCGACGGCAGGGGCTGCAAGGCCCGGTGACCGTTGTGAGAAAGTCAGCTTTGTCTTCACTTCTTGCCCCCGGCATCCGCCGCATCCTGTTCTCTCCCAGAACAGGATGCGGAACATGCGGAACGCACGGCTGCTCTTGCTGTTCCAGGCCAGGGCCAAACACTTTGGTCACTACAAAAGGGGTGTCCATCAAAGACAAATCAAAACCACTGTGCGGCACTCCCGCCACATGGCCCCCGTAGCACGGCCAACACTTCGGACTCGTCCGGTTGGTGTCTGTGGGCCACCTCCGGGTCCATGGATGGAGGGAGTCGCCATTGAAAGAGACGCACGTAGAGGATGTTGTCGGGGCTTCAAGCGACTCGTGAGTCGCGAGCATTGAGCAAAGATCGGCTGGAATCGCAAGGCCCTGATGTTGTGAAGCAACCGATCACCTGATTGCTGCAAGTCACTTGACCCGTAGATCATGTCACTGACTCTCAGAGCAAATGTCACAGCAAGCAGCTCCAAAACATGGTACTCCGAAGGCGTTGGGGATTTCTCGCTGTTGCTGCGCGTCACGTGCGCGCGGGATTGACGCCAATAGTAGCATCTTGGAAAGTAGCAACCCCAATCGTAGAGCTCAAAATCGGGCTTCAAGCCCAAAAAAGGCAACTACGCTGCTGCAGGGGCAGTAGCTGAGCACTGCTTACATCCCGATCTGCAGCATAGCACCTGGCAGAACAGTAGGCCTAAACCCTAAACCCTAAACTTCCTAAACCCTAACAGGCATTTGCAAAGCCTCCAAGTTGATGGTGTAGCTGCGCAGCGGAAGTGGCAACGGCCCCTTCGAGCCCACTCCGTCTCGCCGAAGGTGAAGTCTCAGAGGGATGGAGGCCGGCCAGGCTTTTTCCGAAGAGCCGAGGGTTTCGGGCAATCCTTAGGGTTTCTTAGGCCATGCTTTCCGGCCCTTACTGCTCTTGCCTTGCGGGCTAAGAAGCAGTGACTATTGGAGTTGGGAGGCACGCTGGCACATGCCAAGGCCAAGTGCCCGCAAGAGCGCTCAATCTGTCGTCGCTTCACTGGATCCGTTGTCATGCTCGCGTTCGTGACCGAAAGGCTTGCGCCCTGCTACGACGCTTGTCGTCGGCCGTGAGGATTCATGGGCTGTCACGTCGCGTCGCGACGCGCAGATGCTCAGTGCGCAGCTCTGTTGCTTTTGTTTAGCATGCTCGTCCACAACATCAGCATAAGGTAGGTTTCTTGTCAGGTGCGTCCAGGATTGTTTTCCAAAGGGGCTCACGAAGGGCTGTGCTGCGATGCGTGTGCAAGGGCTCGCTCTGAGCTGATCTGAGCTCCTGTCTTCCAAGGGCACTTTGCAGGGCCGAAACTTGCTGTTTCTCGGAAAAGCCCTAAGTTTCAGTTTGCCGTTTGATTGAAGCGTGGCAGCTGCATGGCATCCGACGGCATTGCTTCAGTCTTTCATGAGGAGCTGCTCTTCGCAATGCATCTTCTCTCGGTTCTCTGCTTGGTCGGCGTGAAGTGGGGAGTTCTTTGAGCGCTAGATGCTGCCATCGATTGCCGGGCTCCACTCTGATCCTTCGGGCGTCTCGGAAAAAAGACGAGACGAGGCCAGAACCGACCCGCCTAGCGCTGCGCTCAGATGATCGCCGAAGCCTTCGAGGCCACGGGGTGAGGACCTTGCTTGCTGTCTTTCTAGCCCTGGCGGCTGGCCCCTTCCGTCAGCTGCTCAGATCTCGCCGCGACACTCTGACGTTCGCTTGAGCAGGGCCCTTTGAAAGTGCTTCCTGCCGGGACCGGGTTCATAGGGATCTACAGTAAGTAACATGGCTCCTCTACTATGGTCACTTAAACTATACATCCCCTATAAGAAGAACCCAGAAAAACGCACAGCTGGGAGCCAGCAGCAGCACGTGGACAGCTGGCCTTGGCTCCGGTTCCCTGGTGGACTCCGATACCACTTGACGAAGAGCTTGACGAAGAGATAGGATGCCTGGCACAGGTGCCACCATCTCAAAAAGGGGTCTTAGACAGGTCTCCAGGAAGACGAAGGAAAGAGCCAACCCTAAAACTGAAAGTGCGGGTGTTTTGGACTTGGAGTCTTCGACAGATGGAAATGCTTGGAGGGATTTCCATGCTGACCTCTGTGCCTGATGCCGTAAAGCTCTATGGCCGTCGCTCGCAAGGGCCGGCAGACTAAATTTCCCACCGCATGCCTTCTTCACGACAACCCCACATCTACACCCTGAACCGCTTTAGGCCCTGAAATAAGGGGGTACCTTAATTTCACATCATGTCGCCCCTGTCAGCTTGCTGTGGTGCGCAGGCGTCCGTTAGCATCTGTCTCGCTCCCGCTCCTTTCGACAGGACCCCCTTGGTTACTTCTGGGGGCCTTGGGTATGGTATACTAAGTTATAAGAAGGATTCCCCAAAACCCTATTCTAATTATTAAGGCCCCTATATTAGGTCAGCCGCGTCAGCCTGCCAAGCGGCCAGGATCTCGAAAGTGTCCTAAACCCTAAACCCTAAACCCTAAACTGGTAGAGCCACGGGCTGAGCTGGCCGCGCTGGCAGGGTGATGGCAGAAGCACTTCCATGCTGCGAGATCCGGACGGCTCTACATTTTGAAGCAAAGGCAGCTCAGCATCCGCGCAGAACCTTCCGACCTCCGAGGGGATCTTGGGGTGTGGGGCAAGTTGGCACCGTCTCCTCTAGTTTGCCACTGCTCGGTGTACATCGGCTCTAGCTTATACCATGGCAAGCGAAGGCTCCAAGATTTTCCAGCGGTCTCCAGAAATACCCATGGTCTTGAAGCCGACATGATTCGAAGAGGTTCCGGGTTTATGGGAATGAGGAAAGCTATTACCTCAGGTGAGCTTCGTGTGCATAAGATAGATGTGAATGGTGATGCTTCCCTTCTCCTTGCGGCACTTGCCCCGGCGCGTCCCCCTGCGGTACTCTAGAGCACCTCTCCTGCATTCTAGCCGTTCGGGGGAAGCTTCTTCCCTGGACCTGTTTTCAGCTCTGTGGTTGCCTTTGCTCCACTTGCTCCTTGTGCCCTTTCAGCTGTGCGAAACCGCGTGCCAGTGGCAGCAAGGAATCACGGCGCCTCTCAGCTTCTGTCATCTCTTACACTGTCAGTGAGATTTGAACCTTCAACCTTGAAGGAATTGAAGGAAGCTCCTTGAGGAGGACCGTTTTGAGCGAGCGGGCGAGGGAACTCATCAGATCCGGAAAGCCCGACCAAGCACTGGTAGTGGGCTTTTCACCGTCGCCGCCTTAAACGCCTACGGTTAGTCGGCCTTCTCCAAAATGGACTCTTGTTTAATTTGGGGCAGGGCAAGTGGGGCCTGCAGGGCCATACAGCACTTTCAAACCTGTCACTAGGGTCGACGGCGCTGCGAGCGAAGAAGCCTGTTTCTGGGCATGGGGCCTTCACTGTTTCGCAGAATCGTCTGGGGCCGGCCACAGATGCCTCGTCTGTCCCCTGGTATGCAATTCGGAGAGGGCTGACTGGGCACCAAGACAAGTGAGAGTCATTGCTATCGTGCCCCTATGATCTCCAGACGCGCACGTCCTGAGCTGCGGAAGCATGAACTGGCTGCTTCAGTAGCTGTTGCTGTGCACTTGATCATCCCGAGAAGGCAGCCTTTTGCGACCCTGTGCTGCTTGGAAACGCAGTGCCAGGAACCTTCGATACAGGCCGGAACATTTACGGCTACTCCAGGCGGCCCTGCCGCATGCGTTAGCAGGGCCGTTCTGGAACCTGATGAAGCCGTGACGAGTCTTCCGGCTTCTTGGATCCATGTCTCAGTCCTTGCACCAGCCTGGCCTCATCCAGCCGACATGTCAGCGCGCTGTGGGCGTTGTATAACTCTAACCCTAAAAGCGCGACGTACATTGTCGGAGGACCCGAGTCCCCAGAAACCCCTGGCTTGGAAAAGTGGCAATGCAGGCGGGGCGCGCTGACGCGTGCGCTGCCGGGTGGGGTCCGAAGGAGTGGTCGCGACGATGTTGCAACTGTCGTGCCTCATTCTCCGGGTGTTCTGTGTGGGACGCTCAGTGGGACCGCGGTTTTTCCGGGGTTGTGCAGCTGCATTTCTGGTGGAAACGTGTGAGCCGTGGCTGAGAGCTCGAGGCAGTTTCCGAGCTCTTTGCTGGATGCTTCGGCCGTGGTTCCTGAGGCCCTTGTAGCTTTTTTCATCAAGCCTGTCGGGGAAGTGCCTGGCGGTGGGCAGAAGAAGTCCGGAGCACAGAGCTGGGCAGCCGAAGTGGACATTGCCTGGCTTTCTTTGGCGCGAAAACCGCCCCGAGTTGAGCTCCCTCCCTTGAAGCATGTCCATCTCGCCAAGGCAGATTCCTTGCGGGTCACCTGCCTGCCCAGCCCAGCAACGAGCTTGCCGTCTCGCGATCTCCTGGACTTCCTCTGCAACTGACAGGCAAGAAAGTCTGAAGCCCAAGCCCAACGCGAAGACAACCCAGCCACAAACTGTCCGGCAACTCTGGCCGTAGTGCCCTGAGGCTGCTGAAAGCAGAAGCTTCCGTTTCGCCAAGCTGCCTGCGAGTCCGCATCCCTAAAGCCGTCACAGCCCGTGAAAGCGGCAACTGGGGCTCCCAGCTCCAAGCCTCCGTCAGTCGCTGATCCCATCTTGAGGCTTCTAGGATTCTAGGCCTTTCCAGGAAACGTCTCCGCCCGCCGCTGTCCGTTTGGCCAAGAGAGAGTCTCTTCTGTGCTCTGCAGCTGGCCTTCAGCAAGGTTTAGGTGATGACCTTGCGAGCAAATCAAGACTCTGGCGCCAAGCCCACTCGACAAGTCTGCACGGAACCCTAAACTAAAGCCTGGCGGGGCTCTATTCCGAGATGGCTCTTAGATTCTGAACCACGAAACCCCACACTCAGGTCCTCTGTGTGAGAGCGGCAACTGGTGTTCCCAGCTCCAAGCCACCGTCCAAGCTGCATTCGCTGATCTCATCTTGAGGCTTCTAGGCCTTTCCAGGGCTTTCCAGGAAATGTCTCCGCCCGCCGCTGGCTGTTTGGCAAGAGAGCTCTTCTAGGCCTTCCAGACTCGCGATCCTAAAAAGGGCAATGCTCTGCCGAAGTGAAACGTGGCACGGTCCGTGCAACTTGTGAACTGTCAGAACCGTCTCTATAGCAGGGGTGCCTTGGGGCCCACAATGAAGCCGGTTTAAGGCATCACGCGGGCGGTGTCCGACGGAAGGGGACGGAATGGTTATACTCCGTTGCCTCGTGCCGAAGTCTGGGACCCGGGTTCGTCTAAACCCCAGACGTGCCAACAGGAAAGCCTTGAGTTGACAGACCGTGCAAAGATTTCCAACTGCACCCTGAACTTTCTGTCCGTACGGCAGAGGCAACACGTCATGCAGGTGCAGCGCCAACGGCTTTGCAAGCTTATGAGATCAGGGTATGCGATGGACCCATTGCAGTACCAACAAGCATCGTGAATTTGTACCTCGGTTCGCTTCTCCCGCGGGGAAGTTTACAAAGTTTACACAGGGCACGTCTCGAAGCTGCCGAGATGGGTTCACAGGTTAGGCATGCCTTCAGACTCGAGCTTAGACCCGAACACGCAATGTCAGTGCGGGACACGCCGTTGATGTGCGGCGCTGCATAGGTCGAAGGAACAGTTCTGCTGTGAGGGCCGCTTTCATGACGAGGGTGAACTGAAACGGAATGCGATGAGCTTCGCGACTTGCGCTTTGCAAGAGCTTTCACGATGTGCACAAGCAGAACGAGCAGAACGGTTGTGTCGCAAGGTGGAGATGAGGGGTTGGAAGCTTTGAGTTCGAAGTGCCACTGGGTCTCCATGCAGCTCCAAAGCTCCGCCGACGTGCCGGCGGTCACGATAGTCACATCAACCACCGCGGCTTGCCGTCTGCTGTGCATGGCAGTTTTGCCAATGCCCAGCCGTGATCTTGGAGGTTCTGTGCAGAAAGGCATCGAAAGATGCATCAGGGAGCTCGCCTCCGTTTCGCTGGTGCAAGCAAGCTTGAATGTGCTCCCCTGTGTCCATGTCTGCAAAAAAGCTGATTCATGCCAGGCTCGAAAGTGACCATAGTGTCACCCAACGCCTTCAGTCGCCAACGCTGCGAAGCAGCGTTGGCGCCGACAGCTTCTGCGTAGGCCAACGCGCTTGCTCATGCCGGCGCAGACACGTTCTTCCATTGGTGTGTTTCCCCAAGCCTGCTTGCAAATGAAATCCCTGTCTGCAGATGCATCCATGGTGCACGATGGTGCACGGAAACTTCGCCCAGCCCTCCCAGTTTCCGCTTGCTTCGCCCTTGCATGGAAAGGGCGTCAGCATGTTTCAGCATTTCTACGCTGCTGGAGGGTAGATCCTTCGTGTGGTCAGGCTGGAAGGTTCCTGCCCGGAAGTCACGTTGCCCACACCAGCGGTTGCATGCGCTGTGGGTTTTGCTGGGATGTCGTACAATGCTACAATGTCTCCCACCTCAGGGGTAGGTCGTGTAAGGACGGCTGCGCTGGCCGGAAAAAGCTTCTGTTGCTGGGAGCTTGAGCTGAATGCTGAATGTAGCAAGGGGTTCAGGGCTAGGCAAGCGAAGAAGAGTTCTAAAAGATACTTATGGTCTGTTGTGTGGCAGGCGGTGCGGTTGCCGATTCTGGCATGAACAACTGTCGACCCAAGCCGCCCCGGATCGTACTTATTCTGCAAGATTCTGCCGGGTTTGTCTGTTTGTCTTGTCGGTGAGTGTGTGCACGTGTATAGGCTGAAACATTGTCCACTGCGGCACGTTGAATTCTCAACGATTCGAGTCTTGTCTGCAGAGTCCTCACCGCTGCTGTCTGCGATCGCACGTCGAGTAACAAGCAAGAGGGAGAACATCAGACCCTAAGCGCGTTTGAAAGCCTCAAACAGCCTCAACATGTCATGTCATTCAGTGTCCTAACCTAGCCACAAGATGTGAAGAGACGCATAGCACCCGTTGCTCCTTTGACCGCGAGACGGGTTTGACTTGTGCACATGGGCGTTTTGGCTGTCCGCGGAGTTCAGCTCACCGAAAAATCAAGGCCAGGTTCTGATACGGGGAGTCTCTCGTTGCTGGGTGATTGGGGGTCTTCCCGCTCGATACTTCTTGAGTGCTGCAGGTGCCACCATCCGCTCCGCAACGACGGCGGTGCACCCCAGCGTGACCCTTCGCTTTCGCAGTTGTTCCCTAAACCCTAAACCCTAAATCCTAAACCCTAAACCCTAAACCTGTTTCAGCTCACTTGAATTCGAAAGTTTGTTCCGTGGCAGGAGCAGCTTCCCTCCAAGCAGCGCTGCAGGGGGGGCAAAGCTTAGGGCTCACGCGTTTAGGGTTTAGGGTTTAGGGCCGTTTAGGGTTTAAGGGTTTAGGGTTTAGGGAAATGACGTGTTTTTTCCGCTCTGACACTGTTTATCTCTTCGTTCGCTAGATCGCGGCTCCGCGTTCTGTTGATGGTCCATCTGGTGAAGTCAGTTGCGTGTCCGGGGCATGTTGTTAGTGGAGGCTAGATGAACTGACACACATCTACTTCGAACCAGTCTCGCAACATGAGAACGTGGGGTGGTCTTGCAAGCCCATGTTGTGGTCTCTTTAAGAATTGCCGGCAAGGTCTTGTGCCTTGTTCAGAGCATCTCCTGAAATCGTCGTAGTGGCTCTCTGCGTTTGGCTGTGTTTTGTGCGTCAGAGCGTACAGCCAGATCCACGAGACGGTTTGCCATCTCGAACCAGCGCCCCGTAATGAAGAAACTATGGTAGGTTTCCTGGGTTCTTGTTGGGGGGTTTACTTTAAGTTACCATAATAAAGAAACCCTATTATTTACTATAGATCCCCTGAAGAAACCGGGGACGGACAACATCGTGTTCAGGGTTGCAGGTTTCAGAAGTGAGCTGAGCACGATTTTCAATTTTACCATGTCGAAGTCTAAGCTATATGTACTATTACTATACTATGATGCAATATACAATATACTACAATGCACTATATAATATACTAGACTCATAGTTTGGGTGTAGGGTGTTATTTGTGCTGCCGTCACAGGTTTCCGTCACTTGGTGGCATGTGTAATGGCGTCAAATATGACCCACCCCACGGCCGGCGCTGAAGCAGCCATGGGCCTCATCGTCGCTGAATTGGGGCCTTGAGTGGCCACACAGGCAGATTTAAGTTTAGAATGTCGGGACTGCGCATCTTTTGTGCATGTCTACCCAAGAATGAGCCACTGCTGTTGGTCGCGGCCTCTGCCATTCTTGTCAGATGGGAAGTGCTCTCAGCAAAGAACGCCACTATTGGCGTTCTGCTTGCATGGCGAAGGCTGTTGTGTCGCTGCGTGCTGCTCGGTTTGGAGGAAGTTTCTGCGGTGCGCAAGGTGGTTCTTGCAGAGAGGAAGTAGAAGCTCACCATGCTGTGGAGAAAGGCTGCAGAAGGAGTGCAACAGCCTGCTGTTGGCACGTGGCTTCATGTGTCTTTTTGCATGTGCTTGTTGCAGGTGTGCCATGTCCCAGATGGTCCGGCGATGTGACCTGGGATCACCGCGGCTTTTCGCAGAATCCCAAGGCTCGAGCGATCCACTCCAGTCCCTGTTACTATCTAGCTCCATCTCGACGTCTCAGTCTCCTCTGAACTCTGAACTTTGCCTGCATTGAGAGTGTGTGGATCACGGTCGCTGAGAAGGCAAGAAGAGCTTTATGGCTAGTGAGGCTAGCATCAGATGACAAGCTGAGGAAGGATGGTCGGACAAGATCTGGTTCAGGGCGGACTCGTGCTGGGCGAGGATGAGCGGAAAGCCCTGGCAAAGGCCGTAGTGGATGTCGCCATTAGCATCTACACCATCGGCATGATGAAGGAGTACAGCGCGCCCGTGGAGACAATCAGTCGCTGGGTGCCTGCATTAGCCGCATTTTGGCCGAGCCTCGAAACCTCCAAGCTTTCCTGGGAAGAGCGGCACCATGCGATTGCAAAGCTGCTGTACGAGGTCGGGCTGCGCTTGGGCGGCTTGCCTTTCAAAGCCATGCAGTTTGTGGGGCTGCGCGATGACCTTCCGGACGGGTACAGGAAGTGGTTCTCCAAGGCACAGGAGAACACTGAATTCTTCAGCCCACCAGAACACGTGCAGCGAGTGCTGGGTGCCTTTGGTCCCAGTTTGCATTGGAGCGATGAGCCCAAGAAGTCCGCGTCGATCGCGCAGGTGCACTTGAAGGCGACCTGGAATGGATGGCCGGCTGTTGCCAAGGTGCAGCACGCGCACGTGAGGGCGGAGTACACCGGCGACCTGAAAACTATGGCTGAGCTTGGAGCCTACGTGAACAAGTATGAGGAGGCGAAGGGTGCGGCCGTGATGCTGGCGGCCCTGGCCGAGAAGCTGGCACCGACGGTGGAGATGGAGACGGACTTCATGAAAGAAGCGGCGAATCAGGAGCGTGTGCGCGAGCTCTTTCGGCAGCACGGCACAGACGTGGCTGTTGCTCAGGCGGCGACCTTCTCCTGTAATGCGGTTGAAGAAGACTCTGGAATTTCAGTAGCAAGTCCAGGGCAGGGCCACACGACCATGGCATGTCGACTGTGCAGCCATTCCAATTTCCGCATGATTCCCTGCCCGAAGGTGTACATGTCCTCGCCGGAGGGTTTGGTCATGCAGAAGCTGGAGGGCATCACAGCGGCGGAGGCCATTGCTGGCTGGAAGCAAGGAGGAGGAGCGCAGAACGACCTTTTTGGACGGGAGCAGCGGGATGTCGTCTACAGTGCCTTTGCAGAGATGGTGCTGAAGCATGGCTTCTTCCAGATGGATGCGCACCCAGGCAACCTCATGATCCTGAAGGAGGGGCGCCTGGCACTGCTGGACTTCGGACAGTGCTGTGAGCCCACTGAGGAGCAGCACCGTCGCTTCCGGCACTTTGCGCTCGAGGCCCCGACCTCCCAAGAAGCAGCCAAGGACACCGCGAAGCTGAAGTCCTGGTTGGCCAACATGGGCATCGAAGTGACAGAACTGAAGGCAGAGAAAACGGCAGAGTTGCTCTTCTACGGTGCGAAGAGCTCCATGTTCCCAGACACGGATAAGATCGACCCGGAGATCATGCCGCTGCTCCTGATCGTGCTCTACCTCTCGCGCTTTGAGAACACGGTGGCGCAGCTGCGTGTCCAGGCCGGTTTCCAGGATGCCGCGGACCACTTTGCCGTTCTCCGCGCTTTCAACAAAGCGGCCAGGGTGGGAGGTGAGGTGCACATGGACCTCTGACGTCTGAGTCGCAGCAGGGGCGGTTGCACAGTGTTGCTCTTTGCTTTGTTCATGATGAGTCCTGGCTCGGTTAGCCTATCTCGAAAGAGCATCGCTGTCAGCCTTCACGTGTATCCACCTGCCTCGGATTGTGCAGCAGGGGCGGTGGGACGGAAGTGTCATCATCATCCGGCCTGGAGGAAACGTTTCTATTCAGTTCAAGGTCTGCGAGGCTTGACGGCCCCCCCGACTGGTGGTACCAGCGGAGCGGGGTACAAGCTGAGCAGACCTCGGAGCAAGACTGCGTGCGGAGCGGAATATGGGCTGCACCTGGATACTGCTTTCCGGACCGGTTTCATGTGTGTGTGTGTTGGTTGCGTTTGCACCTACACCTTCCGTGCTGTGACATGAGATCGCAGCTTTTTTCTTTGCCATGCCCACCCAACTCCTGCTTTGCTCCATCTCGGGATCTTGGCTGCTCGCCTGCACTGGTTGCTGAACTAATGTGTGTACGTGCAATTTGTTTCAGAGGGCCGAAACCAGGACCAGGACGGAGGTGAGGCAAGACAAAAGCATGGTTGGAACAAGAAGCCGCGTTAAGCAGTGAGTGGAGTCATCAATCCGTGACTGCAAAACAAGCTCAGCCATGCTGCGCTGGCATCAGGGCCTGCGTTAAACTACTCGTCCTAAAGCCGAAGCCCTTCCTTTTTGAGCGAGCATCCCAATTTTAACCCGAAGCTGGGGAGCTCGGTAAGACCGACTGTGGTTCTCGTACTTTTCGTTATCGAACAAGCAGCACTGGGTTTAGGGTCAAGGGCTCAGGGTTTAGAGTTTAGAGGTTAAAGTTTAGGGTCCAGGGCTTTTGGTTTTCCTGTCAGGGGCCGACATGGCCAATGCACATCGCGGAGAATGTCGGGACACTGGATGTAGTTTTTGCTTCCACATGTTTGTTGGGTTTCATTTCGGAACTATCACCACTAAGATCGGGTGATCGTTGTTGCAATCGGGAGGTGTTTTTGTAGTGATGGCCCTTCATACATACTCCTCTAGTCCATGCATCCCACTTTCGGTTCGTGGAGCTTTCCAGGACCGGTCGCGACGACATCGTCGACTGCCCACCTGACAAGCTCCCTGGCTATGCCAGTCGCAAGAACTGAGTGAGTGTTGCAAGGGCTCCTCCATCATGAGGCCGAGTTTTGGTTAAGGTATTGGGATACAAGCAACAGTAAGTCTATGTCTAACATACCAGCATACACGACAACGCGGTGTTTTGATTTGATTTTCCGGCAGGCCAGGTCGGGACCTCCAGTGGCAGTTGACGGTTTACATGCTGCCAGCTTTTGTGCTTGAAGCCTGAACCCTAAACCCTAAATCCTACCAACCTCAACATGAGGAGGCTGCGAGAGTGTGGGACCTGGGCCGGGCTGCCAAGTTCTACCCCACCGTGGGGGGGGGGGGGGGGGGGCTCAACAAGTACTAGAGGCCTTTTTGGTTTAGGGTTTAGGGTTTAGGGTTTTAGGGTTTAGGGGTTTAGGGGTGTTCTTTT